ATATATATTATCAATGAAAATTATGTATTTTTTTAGTATTATTATCATTATCACTGCAATAATTTATAGACAGACATGGTGAAAACAACACACATCGAAATAGCATTGCAGTACCCACTGCTTCTAGGGAATCATATTCAACATTAGTCACTAAGCGAAGGCTTGGTGGTCTAGTAGTTATGACACTAGGATAGTTCTGGAGGTTGTGGGTTCAATTCCCACCCGAACCACTTGCAAATTTTTTTACAAGTAATTAGGAATGTACTAAGCATTCTGTATGACAACATGTCATGTAGGACAAAACATCACTCCTATTTATGAAGATATTATTTAAATTAATTGTTTTTTTGAAGATAAAGATTAATAGTACTGATAGTATTAATTTAATATTAATCAATTAATATCATGCTTATAGTGGAGTGTTATTTTATCTACAGAAATATACTTAACTTATCTAAAAACAAGTAAGATTTAAATTTGTTTATTAATAAAATTATCATTGATTCTATTTTTATCTGCCACAAATACAGTTATGTTAAAATATCTAAGTCAACTTATCAATTTAGGTGTGACTTCATTAAATAGAACATGGTATTTTATTCCTCAATGAATAGATAAAGAACTAGCTGAAACAAAGGGATTAAGAATATCTAGGTCATGGATTAGAACACTCAAGTTAATCCATTTACTATTGACATCACCTAATTAATCAGTGATTGGCTCAACATATTCTATGATATTGACAAGATTCTAGGTTAATTATGATTTACAAAATTCGTTGGAGAGTTTAACATTAAGTCTATTATGGATCTAATGAGGCTAACCAATTAATATGTGGTAATGTACCATACAGTTTGACCTGTTTCACATTTCAAGTAATTACCTTTTCTGCTTTTAATTAATGAACTTTTGACATAGACAAACACTTAGCATGACCATAGAAAGAAAATTGTTGAAGACCAACGCTAAAGACGATATATCCCAAGGGGTAGACAATCTGTCCCAAGGGGAAGACGATTTGTCCCACGGGTAAGATGACTTGTCATACTGTATGGTTTGCAGACGGACAATTTACCTCATGATACAGTTGGAAAATAAGTCTTAATCAAGTCTTAATCATTTCTACCTTTGGTAAGGACATATTGCAGTAGAAAATTTCACAACTCAGCCTATTCATAAACAATTATTCTAAAATGGCAAAAATTAATAAATTACATTTTAATTACTAAAATTATCTATAAATATTATACCAGTATGGGACCCTTTATGTCCTTTACAATTATTATTATTATTATTATTATTATTTTATTTTTTTTAATTTTTTAATTTTTTTAAATTTATTTATTTATTTTTTTATGATTAAAATTTGTATTAATAAGAGATTACAATCATGTGTGGATTGCAAATAATAAGGGGAAAGTCTATATCAATTATATACATATTTTATAGTATAATGTACTTGGTTCGACAATATTAGTGCAATAAATCTTTGTGTATAATTATTCTTTCAATTCTCTAATATGTACTTTTAATGAAACATGTACTAAAACTTATAGAAGTGCTTATAGAAACTACAATTAATTAAAGTAGGCAAAAAGACGAGACTTACATAAGACAATATGTATTGTATGAAACATTTAATAAGAATTTGATGCAAGTTATCTCGGCATTTCCGATTGCGTGCTTCGGCCGCCTTCAGGAGAACTACTTCTTCTGAAGATGGTTGAGTGTGCTGTTTGGGGCATCGAGATGTTCTCAGCTATTCATCGAGTCTTTGTTTGGGTTGTCTACATGGTGTCTCGTAGAAATTCATTTAATGTTAATTATTTTAATTTGTTTTCATATCATTTCTTTTGCCTGTTATATTTTTTATCATTGTCTACGTGGTTGTGTGCCACTGTTACAAACTTGTCATTCCAATTAAATTATTATTATTATGATTATTAATTTAATATTTTAGTTCATCTTTGGGAAGACCTACAAGTATTAAGAAAATTTAAATTAACTATTTGAAAGTAACAAACAGCTACTCATAAAACCTAAAATTATAAAGAACTACAGTAACAATGTTAAAAAAGATAATTATTTAAAAAAAATTAAAAATATATATTTTTTTTGAGGAATAATAATGTGATGTTTTTGAGTCTAGTTGTTATATGATTACAGAGAATTTCATAATTTGATTGATCCGTTTTAAATGTTCTTTTAGCTTGCAGAAATATTTCATTTAGTTTCCATTAAGAATACTGTTTGAGTACGTGTACATTTTGTTAATGATAATCTGATTGGTGAATATAAGTTTCATTGACATATATGATATAGCACTTACATTTAAACATTTAAATAGCATTATAAAATATTTTCTATATCATTTATCTTCATGATCTCTTCAAAACCTTTGAGAATAGCATTGATGATAGCAAAATTGTCTGTTAATTTTCATTTCTCCTTTGAAAGGTTTGATTATTGTCATTTTGAGTGGGCTATATCATGGGAATATCAAAAGATTTTTAGATTTTGAATCTGATTCGTAGAAATTTGTAAACAGATATTATTTCAACATAATTAGGGTTAGATAGATAGATTTATCGGAACTATCTTAACAACAGTGGCACACACATGACAAAATTTTAGTGCGTTGAACATGTCTTTATTAAAAAAATTAAAATAAGCTACAATACGATCAATTAAACAAACACATACAATAATTATAACCACATAGTTGTCTATAGAGGCCAGAGAATAATCTTGCACATTTCATGTACTTATATAGTATTGCTAAATAAAGACCAGAAAGTAACAATTGTTTGTTTAAGCTTTTGATTGGTTTCACCCATTCTCTAACACAGTACTTATTATTTAAGTTTACCTGAAAATGCCAAATAACTGTGAAATATCAGATTTTGCAATTTATATAAACTACATCTTGGTTGTTCCAAAACTAATAAATAAAATATTCTATCCAAATAATTCCCATTATTCAGTATTATATCAATCAAATGTACACTTATAAACATAATTATAAAACTAATGAAGGGATAAGTCATTTACATTAAAATGCCACCGCTCAAAAGCGACCAATTACCCGTGGAATTATTATTAATTTTCTGCATCAATTAACTTGATTTTACGCCTTGCTTCCACATCAGTTTGAACAGTAAATAAAACTTCACATGAACAATGTGGAAAATAATAATTAATCTGAGTTCCTATCTTAATCTGCCGATCTATATTTATTTATACTGCGCAGGCCTCCGCAGCTGAATATATATCATGAGGTTGCAGGTGTTTGGTACAGTGATTGTGATTGGTCGGTTCACCTGGATACAATCCTCTAAATCTTTATGAAGTGTACAGAGTTCTATAACATTCATACAGGTGTTGATGAACACAAAAGACAGGGTGCTACTAGCATTTCAGCCCTTTAGACGAAAAAGGAGAGCACAATATACCACTAGTTTAGCTGACATAACTTTGCTGCTCCTCCCACTTATATAACTCTAAATTATCTAATCCAGCATGGGGTGCAAGCACAAGCCCCCCTCTCCACACCCCTGCATAGCCCTGAATAGCTTTGCTCAACTGGACACTATTTCACTGTAATTTGGTGAGCAAAAAAAAAAATACACACAAGTGGTTAAAAATCAACACATAATATCAACAATTCCCATAGATAGCATCCCTATTATTTATAATTGTGCTACCCCCTACCCCTTCTTAAATTTGAAATAAACTAATGATCGATTAACTGTTTGATTGAAAATAATGCAGATTAATTCCTTACTTTTCTTACAAAAATATTATTCCTATTAACTTGAGTTAAAAACCATAAGAAACAAAACTAAAATTTGATTTTTCCTTGCAAGTACCACAGTACATGCATCATGAATATTCATTAGGGCATGCCAGATCAGGTTCAATGATCTTGAATACAGTATGGGTTTGCTCTGAATTGCAGTTAAAAGCGCACTTAGAACGGAATCAATAACAGCGAGCAATAATAAACTTACTCAAGGACCGTTGCTCTGAATTTGATATTCCACAGGGCTTCTAAATATCTGATTCAATTTTACTACAACAAGGACAAGCGGTACTGAAAATTGATTTTTGATAGATATAGAGGAAAATTTGTGTACATATCTAAGTAGATTGCAACTATTAATGCACAGGGATTCCCAATAAATATATGTGTTATACAAGTGAACTATTGAATAACCTCATTTGTTGTCGTTTGTCAGTATCATATCCTCAAAAGTCAGAAGTAAAAATAATATAATAATTTTTGGTATTTACATAGTGCATGTTAAACATTTTCTCAATGCATTAAAAAATATAGAACAAGAAATTTGGTCAACTGTGGAATCTATTAAAACTGTGGCCGTGTATCACAGATGGATAAACCATGGATGAATGAATGAACTGGTGAGTCAAATGGTCGAGAAGTTAAGGTTGGGAACCGCAAGCTGCAGTCATAATATCGACTCTCGTTCAAGCAGCACGCTGCCTATGGTTCAGATGGTGGATCACGTCTTATTAAATTCATAATTGGCTCATGTTACAAGAACCCAGTACATCTTTCAAAATGCGTAAATGATTACCCCAGTGTAGGGGTCCATACACTCCCTGTTGTGGAGAGATGAGAGTGGCTGGCACATGTTTACCGGGAACCTAAGACACAGTGACTCATGGGGATAACAAAGTTACTGTAGAAGCTAGTCCAAACCACGAGCACTGTCAGACATCAGTATAAAGCGCTACTATATCTAACGTTATATAATTTACGCATTACATCACATAGATGGATGGAAGAGTGAGTGAATGAAGGAATGAATGGATGTATGGATGAATGAATGAATGAATGAATGAATGAATGAATACTACTATATAATCTAAACAAAACTCACTCCTTCCCATAGTGTGGTGGCTTTCCAAGACAGGGTTTTCGACAGACAACTTTGGTTGGTTTTGGTGCTTTCAACTGTAATTGATATACTGAAAGGCAAACAATTTATTAATTAATATTCATAAACAAATAGCTGAAAACAGCAAACTTTCTGAAATACTTAATAAAAAATAAATAAAATATATATCACTAAATAGATTTCTACTCTACATTTTGGTTTGAAACGAACTTCCTCCTTTTTCATATAAAAACACTGTAAATTCACCGAACACCAATTGCATTTGCAGTCTGGTTTATGTGACCAGACATTGTTTGAAATGGATGATGATCCAAACATAACCCTGCCGCAATTTAAGAAAGATGTCTCCATAAGTACACATGGCTTCACTTTGAGCTCCACGAGTCCGGTCATTTTACTAGATGCTTTATTTTAGTCAGCATAGCCACGATTAAAAGAAAAGAGAACAAAACTTTCCAAAGAAAAATGCAAAATTCTTCGCTTAATTTTGGTGACTCCTTTCTGATCATTCGTTGTAGGTTGATACTTAGTGAAGGGTCTGCACTCAACTCGAAGTCGAAAGTGTTTCCTGTCCTAAAGTTTTCTTCATAATTTCCTTTATATATGACAAGTCGGTTCAAATCGCTGACACCATGGCAAGTAATGTTTCCTCCGACAATTAATCAAGTTAAATGACTTGTTTGAAAAATCGTGATTCATTGTTTCCTACGCAGTTAACAGGCAAATTTGAACCGGACAACTCCAGTATTAATAATAACTTCATATCATAACTCCAGAGAACATTAATTTAGAATGACTATCCCCCTTCCTTTATGCCTCTGAGAAGCAACTAATAAACATAGGGCACCCTCTTTGCTTCTGATGATCATTCCACTTATTTGTATCTACGAAGATAACTGTTCAAACATAAAATGATGAGACAGGGACAAGAACAAACACTTAAAGTCCATAAGCACACATGAATAACGCGCTGTGATTCGTGTTGCCAAATTTGACGTGTTTTGGAATTTCTTTGTGTCATGAATTTCAGTTTCCACATGAGTAACTACTGGTCGAAGCAACTCAACAGTAATTGGTATAATTAAAGAACATTGTATGGCCCCAAGAGATATCTAGAGATAACCCGTCAAAAACACAAAAACTATTGAATTGATGCCAAAAGTTCACAGGAAAATTAATATGTCTATTTAACGAAAGTTTTCTTATTAGCTTGTTTAAATATGAAATTTCATTTCAGGTTTATAAAATTTACTTACGTAATAACTTTCTTTTATCAATACATCTATAAAATATATAACACTATTATAAACTTAAAAATTTTTTTTTGACTAATTGAAAGTAATCTACTATAGAATTAGAAGAAATATCCGAAAAAATACAAGAATAGAATTACTATTACAGGGGGGAGGGGGATTCACTATAAATGGGGAACGCTAGTAGCAGAGGCATAACGAAGGGGCTGGAGGCCCTATAGAAACATTTTGTATTTTTGTTATGTATTGCAATTTTATTAAAAGTAGTGGCAATACATGGAAGGGAAGATGGAAAATAGATCTGCCCCTAGTTTTTTGTTTTCAGATAAATCCTGGTGTTTTGATAGAATCTGAACTCACATCCCTGAAATTGGATGGCAAACACCAAAGCTACACCTCCACTGTTACCAAGCAGCTTAGCTCAATTGGCTAATCTGGTAGTAGCCACTGTGTGTGCGCTGAACCGTGGAGATCTCTAGGTCGCCGGTTCAATTTCCATCGCTGCCTCGCTAGAGGGCTGAAATAAAAGTTATAATAGCGCACCGTCTTTCGGATGAGACGTTTAAGCCGTTGGTCCCGTGTGCATTGATGGCCCATGTGCACGTTAAAGAATGCAGTACACTCTTTGGAAAAGAGTAGGGGATTGTCTCCCGGTGTACTGTCCAATCACCACCAGAAGGACCCTACTGGAAATAAGTCTTCTTCTAGACTTTCGTGGGCTATCCTTGGTGTATATAAATAAATCAAATCCAATCCAATCCAAGCTGCACCCCCACTGCTACCAAGCTACACATCCACTCCTACCAAGCTGCAGTTCCACTCCAACTGTTGTTAAAATCTGACCCAGGTAAGATTTATCCGAGCATGCTTTTCATAGGTGGATTCAAGCAGAGCAAAGCCAGCCCGGGACCCCCTAGATTTTTCAAATTATTATTGAGAAAGAAAGAAGATTTAATCAAATTTAAAGTCAGAGATTGCCGTAACCATCAAATTTCATGCCTCAGCCAAGTATGGTGGGGCTTAGGTGGTCTAGCCCCTTAATCTGTGAGTGTCCCTCCCTGGATCTGCAACAGATTTTTACCCCTCTAATGTCGGCAAATCTAACATGATTCTGTTTTCATATCTGAGCAATCTACAGTAGGTTTTATAATAATAGTCATTGGAACATGCAGATGAATCTACATTTAATTAACCAGATTCAAGATCCTCTTGCAGATCAATACAGTGACACAATGAGAAATATGTTATCATGTACCCAAAAGGACGTTGAACTTGCTGACAATATGTCTTTAAGTTTTTAGTTACAAGACACAGCTAAGCACGTACTCGTCAATGCACTTAACTTCTATCTGTTTATTCTATTTTTGTGTTTCAAATGATTATTAATTTTTTTTTAAATTTTGATTATATAAAAATGCACACTAATTATAAGCAGTTTAAGCTGATTGGTGTTGATTAGTAATGTCTTAAATAGTCAAATTATAAATATTCACAACTTTTAAAAAGTTTTGTATAATTATGAAACGCAGTTGTGAAGCCGGACACAGACTCTGTTCAATGGTGATATGACCAGTGGTGCGAAGTGGCCAGGGCAACCGGGGAAAATGCCCCTGGGCCCGGGATAACTACGTAAAATTTAATAAAATAAAATAAATAAATAAAAATTAGTATCATTGATGTGTTTTTCCTACGAGAATTGTAAATAAAGCTGACCGTTCTTCTATGAAAGCTAGTAATTAATTGCTTCTAATTCTTTTTCATGAATATTTTCATGACTTCTACTACTACAGTGTTTATGTTTACAATCTTTCAAATAGTAAATTCTTTACGTTAATAATTATAAAAGGCTTGGACATTGTCAATATACACAAGTTAGAAAATACAAATAACATGATAGAAATTCGATTGTCAAATAAATACTGAATTAATATGTTAAACCAGTGGTGGGAGGCTGGCCCCACCCTCTAAATCTTTCATAATTTTACAAAAATTGAGAAAAAAAAAATTCTACTCAAATTTAAGTCTAAGAGTGCAATTTCCGGCCATCTGGAGGTGCCATAATCATAAATTATCTTACCTCAGCCCCAACCATGGTGGGGCTGAAATAGATACAGTAGACAATCCATCTGTGAAAGTCCTTCTCTGGGCCCCCTCTATTTCAAATTCCTAGATCTGCCACTGTAAAATTTGATACCTATGTTATGAATCTTTTCAGCACATTTGAATGAAAGTAAAGATAGCTTTTACTTTTCATGTTTCTACACATTATTTTTCATGACCTGGTAAAAATAGGCACTCTATAATCAATTAAATTAGTCCTCTAATCTGTTAGGCTGTAGCTTCTGGAGTGGGAGTGGGGAGACCCACAAGGGATATGTCACTCGATACCATTTGGGCCCTAGCCGGCCCAAAATTTTGGTGCAGAATTTGGAGCAATATGGTTGTTTGATTAAGGTTATCTACAGTACACCACAATCATTGTCACAAAATTAACAAATTTCTATAGTTCCTTAAAAATGACAAATGACATCCATCGACCCTGCTACTGTAATGTAGACCTTGCAGAGTTTTCTATGCTGACGTGACACAATTATTCCCTGGAACAATTCATCATATCCTATCGAATATTAATATAATTAAGTACAATTATTAGGCATCCTGTTGCACTAAATACAGTGATGACACGCCTATGTTGGGAAAACTTTACTAAATTATATTAATACATAATATTGATTCCATGACAGATGTGAAGTATAACTCGATAATAAAGAATTACACGATTTTGTTTGTATATAGAGGGCGTTGTAATACCTTGGTGTCCATCTTTGACAGTAATTGATGAATTATATTTTTATTTTGAAAAAATAATCCAACCTAAAGATGACCGACAGTTCTGCACTTGAGACAAAGTTGAAAGAGATGCTAGCAGACTATTAAGGGCAGTATTTTACAAAAAACTTGCTAAAAATAACAACAAAACTATAATAAAACAACAGACTATTAATTTCATTATACAGTAATGAAGTAAGCGTTTAATTAAAAGATTAATTTAAGATATTTGATTAAAACATTTGAGTTTTGTACTTTATGGTAAAACTGTATCCAAAATACAGGTTCTCAATTAATTTTTTATGGGAGAGGGAAATTAAATGTGATAGGTGAATACTATAGGTAAGAATATTCATACTGTTTTATTTAGAGTCTGAGGACATAAATAAAAAAAAATTCTAAAAACATGTCTTCTTTTGCAGATTTTCCTCTTGAAACATGTTCAAATAATAATTGAGGAAGTTAAAATTATGAATTACTTTTAGTTTCTCAGCTGTATAGTTTCTTTATCTCAACTCAATATTAAATATTAACATACTGTCTCTGATGTGCTAAAAACTTTCAAAATAAAATTAAATATTTTAATGGTTTACTTTGTAGGATAAATTATTTAGGATTTAGTTGAAAATGAGAATGAAAATATTACCAACTAACTGATGTAAGTACTGTTTCCATATTAATATTCTTTTGCAAAGACCTTTAACACTTTGAGCGCCTGATGTTTTTTACAGTTATCCCACGCAGAACTGGAGTTTTCAGCAGATACTAATGGACTTTAAAATTTTTCCTGAAAAATAATACCTAATGCAAAAACAGATGAGTTATATATGAAAAAAAAACAAAAAACAATATTAAAAGGGATTTCAAAATGATACTATTTGTTTTGTTCAATGACTATTGCAACATGTATCAAAATTGATAGTAAGTATGGCTACTTTTGCAAATTTAGTTCAAAAACTGCAAAAAAAAACTGAGATAATGAGCTTTGAAAGGAAGGTTTTTCACTATATGTGTGGTGGGTGGGTGACTTAAAATAACATTTTCAGGCTGTCCAGACATCCAAATGAGCTCAAATCTTTTACACATTCCATAACAGCACCCTCTATTTGATTATAAAAAAAACATTAAAGACAGAAGACGCACAAACGATGGGTTACCAACGGTGCTTAAAGTGTTAATTATCTGAAAAATCCAAGGCTTTTGTAGTAAAGGATTTGTAAATCAGTAAAAACTTATCTGGTTTGAGCTAGTATTTGAAATAAACAACATATTTGATGTTTTTAAGAAAATGACCTATTCAATATTAATTTGTTTGTTTTTTTTCCTTAGATTTTATAACAGACAACATATTATTAATTTCAGATCATGTTAAATTAGCATCATGAAATACTTGGAAATGCTATAGCAATAAAAAATTAAAAAAGCAAAACAAACAATGTTCTGACTACAGTATATCCTTCTCATTCTAAATTTAAGTACATACTCCATAACAAATATCAATGGGCCACAATAAAATATTCTTAACCAGATTAGTAGATATGGGTGGAACATGAAGGTTTGGCAAAA